ATCTTGTAGAAAAATAAATGAAAATATTGATGAAATTGTCGTCAAGTACTTTTTCCTCATTGTTTTTAAATATGAGTTAAATATGGATTTTATTTAAATTACAGTTAAATGAATTTGAAGCTTAAGCATAAATAAAGATCAGTGTATACAAACAGGATAGAAGAAACAGTCAAATAAGTTGTAACTAGCTATTATATTATTATTATTATTACGAACCGTCATTGTAAAAACAAATAAAATAGGTTATATAGAGGACAATTTTCAATTTTTTTTCATATCTGATATTGTTTGGGTTCATTACCGTTTATTTTATCGACCTCTGTCTATAACCTATGGGCATTTGATAGTTATATCTTTATATATTATTGATTTACATTTTTAATATATATATTAGTATAACTCTTCTGTATGTTTCATTTTCCCGCTAAAAAAGAAAATTTTTTTTCTAATTTTTCTTTTTAATCACCGTTAAACAGGATGTATCAATAGTCACTAAAAGCATTTTTTGTTGTTACTGTTGTTGTTATTGTTAAAAATAGGTCAATTTTTATGTTTATTCAACTAGAAGGAAATTGATATACTTGATAATAATAATAATAATAACCGATTTTTTTTTAGTGGGTACATTGAATTTTAAAGGTCGTTTATGAAAATATCTTAGTTAAATAATAAAATGGTAAACAATTGACTAATGATTACCGGTATTGATAATCAATTTAAATATATAATTTTTAATGAAAATTATAAACTTACTCATATAATATAAGAGAAAATCATATGGTATATTAGTATAATTTGTAAGAGTTAAATTATTGAACAGTTTTAGGCGGACACTATAATTTATGGACGAACCAATCAGATTTAAGATAATAGGTCTTGGATTTTGGAACAAAATCCATTCATTCATTTGGTGAAATAGCCTTTTGGCATTTTAGTTGATATTAGTTCATGATGAAAACCCTTAATCTAATTTGTAACCCTAACCATCAACTGTAAATCATAATTTCAATTGGTTTATAACCCTCATTTAGTTCTAATAAGTAGGTGGACTTTCTGATGGTCAATTTAGCGTCACTTAAAGGTCATTCATAAATTATTGTCTTACCCAGTTTTAAATATTTTGATAATTTATTTCATTTCATACATTTACTTTAGACTGAGAGAAAATTAACATAATGTGTTGGATAGTCATAGATCTCTGGATATCACTGTAGAACAATAGTTCTTGTTATACATACAGTCCACATGTTTGCTTTATTCTGTTTTTTTTCTCATTCAAGACTATTTTATAAGTTTTTATTGGTTTGTCGTTTTTACTTTAGTAACTGTTCATGTCAGTGCTTTATTGTCAATAAATTGATCATTGTGCAAAATAGTCATTTGGTACAAATGATATAAGTGTCTGAAGGTTACTATCGTATTACAATCAGAATCGTTTATTCCATCTCTCACAGATAAAACATAGTCAGTTCAAAAGTTATGATCATTAGATAAAACTTCAATTAACTTTTTAAATATGTTGACTTTTAATTTTTTGTTTTAATGAATGGATCGTAGTTTAATCAAAGTTTTACCGAATGTTCAACTTAAAAATGTGCAATCAGGTAATAAATAATTTGATCAGAGCTAAACAACAAACATTTTCACTATCATGTCATTCCATAAAATTTAATGCATTTACATGCTTAAGACGTCATCACCTTAAGTTATGTGAATTAACTCTAAAGAAAAGTTGAAGAACAAAGTATTTTAAACCAGTGATAGATTTTTTTAGTTCAAATTACAGAGTGATCTTAATTCGACAGCTGCAACATCCTAGTACGAGACTCCTCAGAGGTATGTATTCGCAATCAAAACAAGCATCAAAGCAAAGACCATTTGGTCTCTCAGAGAGCCCTTAACCTTCAGATTTCTGAGTCGGGATACAATTGCTTACATTTCTAGTGCTAGTCAATAGTTTGTGATCATCTATTAGTATCATTGGTAGGTAACAGTCTTAGACTTGATATAAATGAACATCACTAGCCACGTTTTCTTATCAGAATTACGGAAATTACGGTATAAATAATTGACTAGTGAGCACTTGATTGTTATAATTAGAAGGAATTTGTAGAGACCACTGAATTTTATGGTTAGTGTTAAGGGCTCGGCAAGAGACCCTAGGTTCTGTCAGGGTGGTTCTGTGAGTTAACGCTGCTGGGGAACCCTATACTAGAATGAAATTAAAAGGAACCAGTATTTTGTGTTTTCAAGTTTACTCACGTAGTTTAGTTACCTTAACAACAAAAATGTCTAGTAATAAAGTCACTACACTTGGATGGTTCACTCAACTAGAAGAAAAATATCCAACAGCGAATAATAAGGATATTTTAATCAATAATCATGGAAATAACTTTCGTTCTTGCTTTAGAATCATGGGAATATATTTGTATTCAACTATCAAAAGATATATTGGTGAACATTTAACAACGGATGCCAAAATTTAAAATTCGAGTTTGTAACCATACCAAATAGTTCTTAAACCTCACATTAAAGCTAATTTGCTATTTATTTGCTTATTGAAATTGAATCAAGATATGAAACTCATGGAATATATTCAGATATTTAGGAGGTATGGTAAAGTAATTTGTTACTGTGTAAATATCATTGAATTTCCGACTGTATGCAATCAAACATTAAGTAACATCATAAATATATTGAAAATAAAAAAAACTGTAAAATGACGAATGAACTGACTGAATTCATTCACATAATTATTGAAATGTCTTAGTTTGGAGAATAAGCCAGGTTTTCAATATTCAGTAGGTGTGCTGTATCTATCACTTCAAAACATTTTTGAACCTATTTATTGAATGGGTGTTGCGTGTAAGAATGTAGTTTTCTTCGAATGTTTCATTCCAATATTCTAAAGTTATCCCTAGCTGTTCGCTTTAAACCCATCAGAATAACACATCCCAACATGCCGGATAAAAAATAGTAACATATAGTTAAGTCCTCAAATAATATCGGAGAGACTATAATTAATGGACGAACCAATCAGATATAAGATAACGAGTCTTAAATTTTGGCGCGAAATAGCGTTTTGGTATTATAGATGATGTCAGCTCCTGATGAAAACCCTAATTCTAATTTTTAACTCTAACCATGAACTTTAAATCATAATTCTAACGGGTTTATAACCCTCATTTAGTCCTAATCAATAGGTGTCCATTCTCAAGTTCACTTCAGTGTCACTGAAATGTCGTTCATAAGTTCTAGTCTCACCGATCTTTGTAAAGCTTGTTAATTGATTTTTGCTTGTGGGCTAACGTCAAATGAATAACTATTAAACTACATAGAATGCTAAGTTGATATTTGGTTTTATCATAAAATTTGTTAACAGTGCTCAACCAGAATATCACACAGAATCAAGGTCAATAATTAAAGGTTCAAATTTTACACTATGGATATATCATACATGCCATGGGATCACAATAGTTTTGGATAGACCCCCTATGGGGTTGTATGTGCACACTGAATCTTGAATCAGGATAAGATAGCTGTCCAGTCTTCTTCAGAATAATGTGGAAAATTCACTTTCCACCTTGCAAGAAACCATAAATAGAACTCATTTACGTAAGTTTCATTTTCTGTTTCATTTTTTTGTTTTTAAACGCCTCCTACAATGTTATACAACAATAATATGATCAATTTTAATTTGTATATCAGTTGTTTGGATCTTACCATTGATGTTTAAGACTACATTTGATCAATCTCTTATTAGCATATGTACATTCTTTATGGATTACCTCGATATTTCCAGTAATTCACAAGCATTTTAATCAGAGATGGATAGTAGTTAGCGGTGGAATCCGGGAAGTTCACTTAGGCCAATTCGGGACTCATCAGCTGGATGTACCCTGTATTCTAGAGTTGATGATAAATCGGGAAAACGAATTTCAAACGCCATCGCGTTATCCACTTAGCTACTGATCACACAGGATGCTTACATTCCAAAAGAGACTGATCAGTTGCAGTCGTAAACATCAATGGAAAGATTTGAAAAAAAAGCAACATATATTAAAATTCACCCCATTGCGCAGGCCAGTAGCCATCTGGATTCCGTGACTAAGTGGATCGAGGTACATCTAGATGATCAGTGCTAAGTGAGATGAAATATGCGTCCTGGATTCCACTGCTAGCTACTTTCCATCTTCGTAAGAACACTAAAAATTTTATTTAAAATATTTACTACAATGTTATCTTGTCAACAATACTGATATTGAATGACAACTCATTCTTTACAGATACCTATTATATGTTAATATTTTGCATGAATTAAATTTATTATTTATATGTAGCTGAAGAGAAGTCAACAAATCACAAATAACTCATTTTTTGCTAACATCGTTATACTTGTCTCGCTTCACATATATTTTTTTTACGCCTCCATATTCCCAGGATAAAGTGGGTTGGAGAATGATGGTCAGCGGCATATGCTGCACTGGAAATAACAAGGGTAGGTAAGTAAGTACATCTCCGTTTTTATTTAATATTGAATTTTTAAACAAATAAAGTAGTAATTTCAATAGTTGAGATCATGAGTCATTTGAAGCTAGACCGCCATGGAAAACCTGGAAGCACTGGACGACCCACGTGTTCGCGCACGGGTTCGAATCTCGCGAGGCGGGGTCGTGAATAAGCACTGCTGAGAGGTTCCACAATAAGACGAAACGGCTGTCCAGTGCTTCCAGGTTTTCCATGGTGGTCTAGCTTCAATTGACTCATGATCTTAATCATTGAAATTATTATAATATCCACAAAACCCCTTCTGATACAAATAAAGTAGTTTTGTAATAAATAAACAATTTAGATGTGATAAAATTTGATAAATATTCTTTACTTGAAATTCATACTTTAGTTAACTTGATTTAATATTAAACAAACAATGGAATTTCCCATATTCTGGGTATTTTGTTTTATATAAACAGAATATTACACTAACTAAATAAATAACTTACATGATTAGAATTTTCTATTGGTAGAATGAGATTAAATATTTTTCCTGTAGGAATAAGAATTTCCACATTTTCACAATGACACATTAGAAAAACAATCAACAATATACAATAGAAACTATTCACTGTGTAAAAGTGTATTCTGTGATGCATAACTATCATATGATTATATGTGTAAATAATCAGATATTGTCATATATTCTCATATTAATGGATGTATTCTCAGTTGTTGTTTTATCTTAATTAGGAACATTTTAATTGTAAACATCTAGGCGAAAATAGTCGATTATTTGATCCGATTCAAACATAAATTCTATTGTAGTTTGACTGATCAAGTGATTTTAGTAATATGTATTTTAGAAATTGTATAAATTAATGTTGTACATTTCTGGTTAATACAATTGTTAGGTATTGCTACTTATTATGATATTTAATATGACATATTACATAACAGAGGATGAAATGAGATATAAGATTCATTCCGATTTTTATAATAAATTTATCCATAAACGATAATTGCACATAGTTCATCCAGTTGAAAAAAAAGAACTTCGCTTTATCTTAATGTTTTCATTGAGCTTATATAGTTTAACTAGAAGGTTTTGTATAGACATACATGCAATAATAGGTTAAGAAATATTTGCACGGATATTATTATTAATAGTAATAGTAGTAGTAATGTTACTTTTCAATTGCTCACTCGTTCACTAATTCATTCATTCGTTTAACACATAACATATACACAGAAAGAAAAAATCACATACCGACCATCCAACTATTGTTCTAGGAGGGATTAGACTGTGTAGCATGAAAATAATTGGAAGTGTTTTCAGACAGGAACAATTCCACGTGTTTTCATTTTGTTTATTTAATGAAACCGTAAAATATCATAAGGAAATTACTCTATTAGTAGGACGGACATACAACTGGACTGATATTTCTCTGGTCATATTGGTAATATTACGTGCAACCATTTATGTTTTAGAATGAGTAGAGGCAGAAATAAAATAGTGAATAGTTGTATTTTATAAGTTTTAGACTAAATGATAGCGGTAATAGGGGTTAACTATCATAAAAACTGGACTTTAAACTCTTTTGGCATGGTTAGTATAAAGGAGCGCGGATACACAGACAATTGTTGAGTCCTGTCAAAAAGAATAGATAGTCTTATGACAGCCTATGATTAAAAGACTTAATGCATAGATTTAGGTAAGGAAAATGTTATGTATTACTGTATGATTTTCGCATCCGTTTTCAATTACATTTCTATTATAAATTAAATCAACAAGAAGTGCTTTTATTGAGCCACGTGATTTTACTATCTGGGATATTTTCCATTTCTAGCAAAACTGTGACAGTTTTTACTTCTGAAACATTTGCCTCAGTGAAAATTTTGTTAACTGGATACCCTATGTATTTAACTTCTGAAGGACACATCTTTGCTACAGTAGCTGATCATAGCAGATCAGATTGTAATTAATCCAGACGTTTCCAGATACTATGATTTATATACGAATTCTGACAATACAATGAATACTAAAGCTTCACTGAATCAAGTATACTTATAAATTTGGTCTCAATTAAAGACAGAATATATTAAAGGACTGATAATATATGACACCGGAAGGGTGATCATGGCCATATACCAGGAGTTGGCAAACTATGGGAAACAACATTATTTAGAACGATTCGTAAAAGCTAATAGAGGTGGAGTAGTTTAAAACTGTTTTATATAAACATAACATCATATATAAAAATCTTGCATACTGACAACTGAAGTCAAGTGTAATCCGTTCTTTAACCAATTAGAGGAAGAATATGAAGTACAAAAGCTATCTCTCAGGAACCTGCTCAAGAATACTGTCGGAAGAATTCATCAGTTAAGCATGATTATTTATTAATTCATTAAAACTTCAGAGCTTGTGGTTTAATTTGCCGAAAGACTATTTTCTACTGCCATTAAAGTAGTTAATTTTAATCTTTCGACGTAATTATTGGACATTCAAACTGGAGGCAACTTGAATGACTAAATTGATTGACTAAATTTTATTTGTCATTGGTAGAGAATACATTATCGGAACCTTTAAATTTTGTAATTAGAATGTTTGCATTTTGAACACTCATATTCAGATCTCAACTAATAAATTCAAATTAACAGCTAGTATTATTCATTATGAAAAACATCCATAAGTTGCTTACATTTTGAGTAACAATGGAAATAATAACGTACGTTTTATTCTGCTTGGTACATTCAACTGACTAATTCTGTATAGTTCTAGTTTGATAAGGCCTCTGAAAAAAATCATTTGTTGACTGTTTTTCAATATGAAATTAATTGGGAAGATTGTATTCTAGTCACAACAAAGAAAAAATATAGAAGTAGAGATCTGTAGCTCAGGTGGGTGTTTAAGGTGGAGTTTTATTCTCTTAGCTCGATGGTTTGATACTATCAAAGTAAAGATGTGGACAATGACAGATTAAAGGTCAGCAACGACCAGTCATGATCAATGCGACAGGACAAGCTGTGAATTATATGTGGAGAAATTCTATAACTTCACTTGTACTTGAAGTTTGCGCTAATGATGTTCAGAAGAACAATGAAAGCTCCACTACTAAACTTTCCAGTTCAGAGAAAAAAACCCACATAAAATATCGAAGTAAACTAAATTGAAGTTCAAAAATTACAAAGATTTATTAAAACATATTTTACATCTTCACAAGAAATACAGTGGACAAAGTCATAAGATATGTAACTGAAATTTAAGACATCTTACTGTACTCTGAATTCAAACATATTCTTAAGAAAATGGTACAAAGTTTAGAATTCAGGCTTCATTCTATTTAAGACTACCCAGTTAAAACTTAATTTCAGAGTCTATTGATTTACATACCAACATGTTATCCACGATGTTACTGAATTAAAAAAGCGACTAATTTGTTCAAATGATGTCGTATTTTTATTATAATAAATGATTCTTGTTTTCCCATTGCTGATATTTGGAAAAGAATTTTAATTTGCCTTCTATGAATTCTACTAATAGCTACCATCTGGAAGATTTTTTTCTTGTAAATTGTAAACATAAAGAGCACATGAAGGCGTTTAATCAAGAAGCCCTGATAATAATCAAAACTGGCCAAATAGAGTTTTAAATACCAGCAACATGTAGGTATAAATGTCTTTAAGTAATTTTAACAATAAAATATTTACAATATTGTAGTGGCTTCGCTTCATTAATCAATCATCCTTGTAACCATCATTATATTAATTTCAACAGTGTTTGAAATCAGAAGCGGCAAATACAGTTTATCAGTGGATAACGCCGATCACAAAGCTTTAAGCACATCAAACCAACTGGGAGCATAGGCGAATATATATATATATATATGCGAGCAAACACAGCGGCAAATTTATAGTCAAATTGAATAAGAGCACCGAAATGCAAAGCAAAAGCTAATAATAGGATTTGAGTACATATATACATGGAGAGGAGAATGAATCATCGAATGATATTTAAGCGATCGACATTTTAGCTAAAGTCTGTCATGTGTTCTAGTGATCATAACACTACAAATAAATAGACGAATTCTTACTATTCAAATAACATTGTCTATTAAGTAAGTTCATAAAAGGACATAACCAAAATTAACCATAATCAAAATTGGTTGTAGGTTAGTTGCTATAATATAATGTACAATTTATTTCAGTTTAATTTAATTATCAATAACTTGGATAGGAATTTCTAGTAATCAATAAAAATAAGTAACAACCATAAATTATATAAACTTTTTTTTATTAAATTTTAGTGTTATTCAATCCAGTTCATTGATTAAGGTAAACAAATAGATTTCGAATATTCATTATGAAAGAAATATCAAATTATGATTCATTATTGATTATGGACAATTATGTATATATATATATATATATATATATATATATATATATATATATATATATATATATATATATAGATAGATAGATAGATAGATAGATAGATAGATAGATAGATAGATAGATAGATAGATAGATAGATAGATAGATAGATAGATAGATAGATAGATAGATAGATAGATAGATAGATAGATAGATAGATAGATAGATAGATAGATAGATAGATAGATAGATAGATAGATAGATAGATAGATAGATAGATAGATAGATAGATAGATAGATAGATAGATAGATAGATAGATAGATAGATAGATAGATAGATAGATAGATAGATAGATAGATAGATAGATAGATAGATAGATAGATAGATAGATAGATAGATAGATAGATAGATAGATAGATAGATAGATAGATAGATAGATAGATAGATAGATAGATAGATAGATAGATAGATAGATAGATAGATAGATAGATAGATAGATAGATAGATAGATAGATAGATAGATAGATAGATAGATAGATAGATAGATAGATAGATAGATAGATAGATAGATAGATAGATAGATAGATAGATAGATAGATAGATAGATAGATAGATAGATAGATAGATAGATAGATAGATAGATAGATAGATAGATAGATAGATAGATAGATAGATAGATAGATAGATAGATAGATAGATAGATAGATAGATAGATAGATAGATAGATAGATAGATAGATAGATAGATAGATAGATAGATAGATAGATAGATAGATAGATACATACATACATACATACATACATACAGAGATCTTGAACCTGAAACTATTCAGTTGTGAATGATGATCTACTGATCATTAATTCAAACTAAATTATCTTAAAGTTTTTAAATGTTGTTTTATTGTTAAAAAAGTAAAATCTAACTCCATGACATAAATAAATCATGCATGATGGAAAGTCTATTGAAGTATTCTTTTAGTTTAAATAAACTTAGCTTTTTTTTCTTTTTTATTGAGGATGAGATTGAATTTATGAAGTATTCAAAATGGGGTTAATTATTATTATATAATTATACATTTTGTTAGCAACGCATTCACTAAGTGAATTAGACTAGTTCAAATGTGATGTGATCTAGTTTAGTTGTTACAATGGTGATTATAACTTTGAAATTAGGAGAGGAGTCCGTGTAGATCAAAATAAATAATAGTAAATATTATGTAATCATTAATTGATAAATTTGTAATACACTACGTGTATATGCTTAATAATATTTAATCATGAACAATTA